TAAGGAAATTCCAAAAACTGTCTAGAGGAGTTACTCAAATGCAGAATTGATACCAAGAATTGATGTGTAGTATGTGATTGGAGGAATAAAATGTTACTAGTAATTGTGTACAATTAAATGTATGAGAACTGTATATTTGATATAAAAAAAAGTTTATAGGAATTTCCAGCAAGTCTAGTAATTATATCTTTAACTGTAAAACAATTACTTTCTTAAATTTTTATTTTTTTTAATTCCTCCTGTACTTTTATTATTTTGTGAAACTGATTTATGTACACACATAACTGCAAAAAAAGAGAGTTGGCATACCTTAAAGAGGAGAAATAGCCTGAGATTTTGGGTTTATTTTTCCCTCTTCAGATACAGACATGCTCCAACATCTTTGCCTCAAGAGTCCTCAGTTCTTGTAACTGTTCACTCTATCTTGTATGAAACTCAAAATAATTATGTTTTCTGATATTTAATTTGTGTAAGTTTCTGTTCTGACATTGTCACATTTTTAAGTTTTATAGTATGAAAATTACATTTGTATGAAATTTCTTTGGTCTGCATGCCAGATTTACTCTGAATATGTTGCCAGTGCATTGGCCCTTAGTCTTTACAGGAAGCACTGGGCAGGATCCTCAGAAGCAGAAGAGCACAGGGATTCTCTGTAGCTTGATAGCTGCCTGTTATGCCCCCCAGCAGTGGTGGGTACAGGGTAGAGTGCATTTTGGTCATTGTGTAGCTTTGTGTACCTGGTTGTCCAGTGAACAATGCCTAAGGACATAAATAGGTGTGGACATAGAACTGGGTGCTTTGTGTCCTTCTTTTGGTGATGGCCTTTTGATGACAGGTGAGTTTAAATAATCTGGGCACAAGGTCTGTTGCTGATGTATACCATAAGCTTCTGTGTAACACAGGCTTATCAGTTACTTCCTCAGCTACCATAGTCTCATGATGGTTATTTCATTCTTTTAACTAAGTTGTGTTGCTCTGTTTTTGCTTTCCCTTTTGTGTATCCCTAGAACCATGATAGTTCTCCTTTTTGAATCCATAGATTCTTCAGGCAAGGTGGTGAGACTTTATCATCTGCTGCTCCCTCCCAAATACTTGCACCTGTTCAATGCAAATTACAGTCACATTCATGAATAAAGCAGAGGTCTCAAAACTAATGTTTCTAAGGCTTTGTGACAATAACTTCTGAGGCAGAGAAATGGGATTCAAATGAGTACCTGTCTGAAGATAAAGGTACACTGTGAGTACAGCCATGTTATGAGTTATCAAGGAATCGGTATGGGAAAAGATTATAGAAAGTCAGGTTTTATAATCCCAGTGTTCAAGGAACTATTTGATATTTTTGTGCTTTTAGCTTGTGACCAAGGTGGGTTGTGAAGGCAGCAAAAATCATGGCTCTTTTCAGAATTGATGAGACACAGATGCGACATAACTTTAGCTGTGAGAAACTCCTTATCTATTTAACAGGAAAAGGTATAGAACTATAAAGTAAATGTAAATGCAGCTGACCTTTTAGTAAAGGATATTGCTTCTCCTTTCAGGCTGCGCAACTAAACTCGCTTTCCCATCAGTGTGTAAGTGTTTGTTAAATGTTTTGTGAGCAGTCTATATTCTTAAATGCTTTAGGTGAGAAGTGAACGAAAATGATACTTGATTTGCACTGAAAGAGCAAGTGCCTGTTATTTCCATCAGGAGTTTCAGTACATATATTAATTTTGAACACAAGCTGCGTGAACTGTTTTGGAGTAGGTGAAAGCAGTGACGCTGTTTCCTGCAACAGTACTTTTACAGTCTGTTCTGGTGAGGGTTAGAGAGGAAATGGGTCAGCCTTTGGTGAACTACGTTTAAATTGCTTCAGATAAATGTAAAGGTCAGTGTAGGCAAACTAGATTTTCTTAAAGTAGAATCTTCTCTTAGTGAAGATATTACAGTTTATTGCTAGCTGTGGGCTGTTGCTGTAACAGCATTTTTATAGCCTTATGCGAGTCATGCTAAACTATGGCTCAACTTAATATTTTATGTACCTCAATATGTTGTTCTACATTCCTTATTACACCCTTTGACATTTCTGGTTTTACTGAATGCAGCTGATACTCACAGGTAATGTCTTTAGTACATCTTGTAGTTAATTTTCAAACTATTTCACATGCAAATATTTTTGTTACAGTAACTTCTGTAGTGATGATTAAAATTGCTTCATAGGTTTGAAATACAAGCTTGACAGCTGGTTGTGAACAATGGAGAAAGTTGCAAAACTGAGTTTGTCTGATAAATAATGCTGTAATAGAAATACGTTCCTGAATTTTGGAGACAGGTTTCAGATTAAATGTTCTATCTGGTTGCTGTTGGCATTTTTTTTTCTTCAATTACAGCAAGATAAATGAGAGCTCCAATTAAATTAATGAAAACAGATTCCTTGAGTTTTCAGGAGAAGAGAGTTTTAATGTGGACCATTGGTGTGATGTTGAATGTGCAATGTGAATAAAAAGCTGAAGTTATATATGTATTGTATTCTCAGCCTATTGAAAAGGAGCTTCCAGTGTCCCAAATTGATCAATTAATTCTCATAATCATCCTAAGGAAACATATTGAAGTAATTATAATATTAGTTTGTCCGATCTGTCCAAGAGATAATGCAGTTAGAATACAGATGTATTATACATGAGACCATGGCTGCAATTTTGGGGGTAAACAAGGTCACTGCCCTGTACAGATCTTAGTTCAGGAGTTGCAATGAGGAGACCTGATATTTGATAGAAAAGATTAATTACAGGAGTGTGTAAGATTCAAAGTTCTAGTCTGGTAGAAAGTAAGTGCTCAGGGCCTCTTAAGAATCATATTATCCCTTTACTTCAGAAACACTGAAGAGTGTTCACTCCTCTCAAGTTTCGTCTTTGATCTGGCACCATCTGTATTGACAGTATTTTGGGTGGAATTCAAGGCAATTTTAGGTCAGACATATAAATCCAAGCTGGATATATTGTGTTTGATCTTGAAGTATTTCGTGGTATTGAGGCAACTTTGCCACCATACTTATACCATTACCTGGAGTAAATTGGTATGTCCAATCTAGGAGCTACATTTATTTTAGTGTTATAGTTGTTCTATAGAATAGGGACACTGAATTCAACAAATTAATCATAAACTGTGGTGTAAAATGTTAGTGTCCCTGTCTTCCCTTCCTCTTTTACTTTGTGCTGCAGGGGCAGGAGCAGGATGGGCTGCAAGAGATTATATATGCTAGTTCCTATTCTGGCATGTTAGCAGAAACCTGTTCGTTTTGAGAGCTGAATGTAGGTTTAAGCCTTCCAGGTTTTGATTCTTGTGAACCAAATGGATTAAGGAGATGTGTAGCATTCTTCCAGAGCTGTCTCACCCCTTACAAGATAATAGGATGATTCTGCTCTGCTGAGAGCCAAAGAAAATGTTAGGTTAAGAAGGAGTAATAGGAGTAGAAATTACAGGAGGATAGAAAGGTATGAGAAATAAATGCAAGTGGCACAGTAGTTTCAGGAATCCAAAATGAGCTTGTTTCTAGCACTCTGTGCTTTTAGTGATCTTGCAATTGATATGTTTAAAATAAGTATTTCTGAAAATGGTATAAAAGGAGACTATATAATTTCTTTAGGTAAGATATTTCATTACCATCTTGGATTTCTTCTTGAATATGCTCTTCAGTTCCTGCATTTATATTTGAAATTTGTGTGCTTTATGGTCATGACTGTCCATTCAGCCATCACCACTAAGTACCTTTAACAATGGAGTTTGTGGTAAGTCAGAAAGGGGACTTGTGTGCTCTATGTCCAGCTTTTCTCCACATCTATAGTTCTTCCCAGTATAGGTAGAAAACCATTTCTTCTTTCCTCCATCGATTTATATTGGAAAACAAGTGAAGAGTCTTGCTTTTAAATGTCCTTTACATAAATTACTGTCTTTCATATTTATCAGTTAGTGTAAGGTAGCAAAGAGCATGAACATAATTCTCTGTTTTACCTCAACAAAAGGAGTCTTCTGATGTAAGAATCCTATTGATTGCTGTGTTTAGAGGTTCACAGCCTTCAGAGAAGAATTAGAGTTCAGCAGCGATCATTTATGTTTTCTTTTTGTAATTATGCTTATGTAATGTGTGGGTGAACTTACTGAAGTGTACTGAGTTAAATACATGCTAAATGCTAGTGAAATTTGAGGAGGAAGGAGCAAAACATTTGAAAGAATAAGACCTTAATCAGACACTGTGTGTATTTAGGGATATTTTTCCTTACACAAATGTGTGATTCTAAGGATGTGAGTGCCTACACGTGGTGGGAAGCTTTGCGTTTAATACTCTAGAATTACCTGTAGGAGGGTATTCTCTCAACTTCATATCAATCCACTGAATCAATATTAAAAAAAATCAACCAAACAAATGGATATAAGCCATTTGGAAAGACAGAATTAGTCACTATTAAAAAAAAAGTTATATATTATCAAGCAATTACTGTCTTAACTTCATTTTGATATTTAGGCAGCATCAAGAAATAATTATCCTTAAAACTATTTTATTGTAACAACAATTCTTAAACAGAACTCCTTAATATACTATCAGGGAGGAATGTTATAGATTCCATTTCCCATTCATAAATTTAACATGTGCTTCCTACCTGCAGTTAGAGTGAATGCCATGTGAAATCCTTGAAAATCATAAAAATGTGATGCAGTGAATTAAAAACAAACAATAATGGTGAGGTCAAAAACAAATGGGAAAAAACCCACTCTTCTTTCCAAGACAGAAGTTTGGGAAGATACCTTTCAAAAGGAATGTATGCTGGTGTGTTGCAAATTGTCTAGGACTGGTTGGTGAGGCTTTATCTTTCAGCAGAAATACAGTAATCTTTATAGGATGGACACTAAGACTACTTTACTTAGAGTGGCTAAAGTGATTTTGGCAGGTGAAAATGCTGTAGAGTTTATGCTTAACACTTCAGATTCATTTTTATTTTCTTATGTGTTTTCATAGGCATTTCAGTAGGACTATGGAGGAGCTAGTTCATGATCTTGTCTCAGCACTGGAAGAAAGTTCAGAGCAAGCCAGAGGAGGTTTTGCTGATACTGGAGATCATTCTCGAAGTGTGTCTTGTCTTCTAAAGCGACAGGCAAGGAAAAGGAGGGGACGAAAAAGACGTTCATTTACCACCCATCATCCTTGGGAGACTGGTCACTGCTTAAGTGAAGGTTCTGATTCCAGTTTAGAAGAATCAAACAAAGACTACAGGGAGAATCATGCTAATAAGAAAGATCACAGTGACTCTGATGACCAGTTGTTGGTTGCTAAACGTAGGCCTTCCTCAAACTTAAATAACATAAGAGGGAAAAGACCTCTGTGGCATGAACCAGATTTGGCTGTTGACAGTTTGGGAAACAGAACTTTGCGCAGGAGAAGAAAGGTAAAACGGATGGCAATAGATCTGCCATCAGAAGTCTCTAATGCACTGACAATAACTCAACAGCAGGATAACAGCAGAGATCAAGAAATGGACAATGACAATAAAACATACCAACTCCAAGACTTTTCCAAGAGCAAAGTGAAAAAAAGAAAAGTAGCTGCAACTCGACAAGGACCAGAAATCTTGGATGAAGGAGTAGTTATAGAACATGAAGAAATGAACCAAGCAAATAAGGACAAAATGGAGTATGAGGAGCAAAAAGGCTCAGATGAGAACATGAGTGACAGGTTATTCTTTCTCTTCCTTTTTACAGAAACTTTGGATAACATTTGTTTGCTTTTATTGCTGTTTCTTGTATTTGGAATCTTTGGATTTTTCTTAAATTCCAGAGTTAAAATGCTAGCATCAATTGTATCCGTTTTAATGAGTTACTCTTAAATTTTTTTAAGTCTACTATTTTTAATATCTATGAGTTGCTCAGGTGAAGGAATTCAGCATAAAATAGAGAGTCATGTAGCAGAGGAATAACCAAGAGAACAGTTTCTTGAAATAACATGCTCTAATTATTTCAAGATTAAGAATGACAGAATATAGAAATGATTAATACATTTTTTTCTGAGTATTTCAACTGGTGACAGTTCTTAGACAAAAATTAAGATTTTTTTCCAATTTCTAGACATTGGTGCTTTGATTGTTATCTCTATTAATCAGAAAAGTTGTCACTGCTTAGAGTCACCATTTGGACAGTATGTTCTTATGTGTCATGGGCATAAAAATTCTGTAGGTTGCCAAGGATATACATCATTTACGAAATGCAAAAACCAATTTACAGTTCAGAAACACCTGAGCTTACCATCAGAAAAATGGGGGAATGATGACCCTTTGGCAATACACCTCATCCATCCATTCCAGACAGCAGTCATACTACAATGGTAATTGTTTCCAGGGTACTATTTTGACAACATAGTACAGTGCAAGTCATTTTTCCACCATACACAAGGGATGTTACTTGCAGGGCCTGGTAAGCTTGATTATGTTTATCCCATGTGCCTGGTTCTGAATGTAGAACTGTCAACAAGAAAGACTCCTATTAAAACACATAATTTTGGTCAGTTGCTTGACAGCACTAGTGTCCCTGGGTTTTTTTGTAAGCATTTTATCTATAAGCTGTTAAACCTTTTTCTTACTGGAGAGGTAGAAGTGAGATGCAGAGAGTACCCAGGGGTTTTGACCAGAGCAGACAGATTAGTTACTGTAATAACAGCAGTATTGGTAAGTGACCAATTACAGTTACTGTCGGAAAAATTCTTCCAAGTCTTTTTATTACATATTAGTTTTGTCCTTCACCTGTGGACAATAAGCAGCTGAAAGAGCTGAATGAATCCTGAGTCTTAAAGATTTTTCCTAATGTCTTAATTACTAGAGCAGAAGCAGTCCTTCAGGGCAGCCAGTGTAACTTTAGACATCTCACTTTGACGTGCAAGACAAGAGTGTGTGGTGGCAGGAAGCCTTTAGAAAATTTCCTTCTTCCTTGATACTGAGAATCTGTTTCCCCAAGTTTGGTACCTAAAGATGGATGGTCAAAAATTTCCTTGGCACTAGGAGCCATTGCATAGTTTATCATATGTCTATATTCTTGTCGCTTTTTTATTTATAAAAGATTTTCTGTTACACTACAAAGGTAACAGTTCTCCAACTCAAAAATTCTGTAGCTAATTTTTGGGTGAAGAGTGATCAATACGAAAATCCTTTTGCAGACTCCCAAAACTGTGGTACTTCCAGGTCAGTCTGAATCTCTCTCTTCACCCCTGCCAAAGAAACATTATTGATTTAAAATACATCTTCCTCTTCAAAATCCTTAAAGTTTTGTTACACCAAATGCTGTCATTTTTCAAATCATACTTCAAATGTTTGTCTCTGGCCCCAATAAATGGCCTTGAAAACTATTCTCATCTTCATAGTGTTTTGTGCTCATACACATGGTTGAGTGATGGTCTGTCATTCTACTGAATTTCTTGCAATGATCATCTCTACCACAAGGTTTGGAAACCACTGAATTAGAAAATTTGCATTCCAAAATGTGATTAGAAATCCACTATATCTAAGCCTCTCAGCTGCACAGTGAATCTGAATATTTTGTTTGTGAATAATTTTAACTTGTTTTAAACTAATTTTACTTAAATACAATAATGTCTCTGTTGTTTGAGATCATTTAGGCAGAAGAATTGGTAACAACTAGTAAACTCTGTTCCTAAGAGTATGTTCTAAAAGTACAAGCTGAGATTTTAAAAGGGAACATCAGTTTTGTAAGATTGCACAAGATATGGAGAGGTAACAAATTATCTTGGATAAAATTCATGCTTCAGCAACACTTGTTGGAAGAGAAGAAATTAAAAAAAAAAAGTATATAAAGTTTCTCTAATTTTGTACATTTGTATGCATACATTTTAAGAATTATTCAAAAAAAAGAGTAATTTTTTAGAAGTTCAGTTTTTAAAAACAAAACAAAGCCAATAATTTTTAATGGAATTTAAATGACTTGGATCTAAAATTGGTGAGGAGAAGTTTTCTGTGTATATGTGAAATTACTTTAAAATAACATACATGTTTAAAGTGCACATTAAAAATGCAAAGTAACACTTCTTTGGCAGTCTTTTATCTGTGTGTGTGTGTGTGTGTGTGTGTTCAAACACCAAACACAATGATAGACCTTTTTAAAGTGTGGTGTTCAGGAGTAGCAGGAGGAGTCTTCAAGCTCTTAAGATGTCAGCATCTAAATGATCCCAAAGAATAATTCCTGTGAGGTTGTTTCTGAGCACTGGAAATGAGCTTTCCATGATCAGAGCCTGTCCTTTGCTTATTCTCCCTTATCCTCAATACTTCACTCCTCAGCCAGTTTCAGCCAAATTTGACAGTGCATAGAGTTCTGGATAATGTTTAATTCCTGCAAGCTTTGGTGATTGCATTTTAAGTGACTAAAGAGGGGAGAAATCTCTCCCTAGAGAGAGCAAGAGCAACAGTGAAACACAGAGGTGCCCACCTGCCCATCAGTGCCTGTACAGTGGCTGCTCTGTTCTTGGGGACAGGATTGGTTAGTAAACAAAGGTCACAAGTCCATATGAAACCAAAGTATGGGACAGTTTGCTAGGAGTGTTAAATAATAATAAAAATATTTATTCTTTGTTTCCACAAATATATAAATGAAGCTGTGAAAGCCTTTTGGGTAGCAGAGCTGTTCCTTCCAAGTTTTTTCTTACATACCCTATTTTAAAGGAGTAAAAGGAATCTGTGGCTTTTTAATTTTTACTGGAAGTCTTGCTGGGAGAGGAATTCTTATTACAAAGCAAAAGGATTAGCAATGTACTGTGCAAAATTATATTAAAACTGAAAATAAATTCCATCATAACAGCTTTCATGTACTTAGATATTAATGTATTAATTCCAGAGGTTTTGAATTTATTCAGTGAAATGACTGTCATGTAGCAATTATCTCTGCTGTAATCCCTGCCCTATTTGACTGGGGCCTGAGCAGAATGAACACAGTGGCTACCATGGATATGCCAGTGTTATAGTTTAATATTTTATTTTTTTTTACCAAAACATTATTATGTGTAATTTTGCACAATTAAATTTTCTTAGTTAAAAAAATAAACAAATAAATAAATAAAAGATGGGATTGTTCTCAAAATTGGAAATTTTGATGGGGAAAGTGGCAGAAATACTAGAGTTGAAAGTATTTCCTAACTTTTGTTTTAAAATTACAATTAAACAATAAATGGACAAGAAGACTCTATGAAAAGGAAATGTGTTTTTTGTTGAGAGGTGTATGATGCAGAATTGTGCACAATGAAATGTAAGGACAGTAAGGCCATCTGTGTTGTAAAGCGAGGATGGGATGCTTGCTAGCAAGATGTTACTGGGATTTACAACATTAGGAGGTTCAAATTTTGAACTCCCCCATGAAAGATGGCTCCTTTCTCATTGCATGCCTGTCATCTTTCTTCTGCTTAGGGCAATTGTGCAAGTGCCTAATTCTGTTCTGTTATGTTTAAAAGATGTTATAAGTATTGCTTATACAGGAAGAATATGCATAAGCAGAAGATGCAGCAAAGATTAATAAAACTTAATCTTCAAACACAGAATTCCATATACATATATTTAAAAAAAAAAAAATCACTGCTTTGTGGCTTCTGATACCATATTCTGTTTCAAATCCTTTTGGGATACCTCCCAAAGGAAGATACAAAAACCAAATATATACTTATAATTAAACACAGATTAGACTAATGCTTATTGCAAGCTTTAAAATTTAAGGCTTATTTTGTGAGACACTCATTTAAAAGCAAGTAATTTTCCTGAGTGTACCAGTTATTTAGGAACAAAAATAAAACTAATTTATTGTTAGAAAGTAACTAAAAATAATTGAAACCAGTTGAATTCAAGTATAGGACTGCATGTATATTTTAATATGAGTAAATGTAGAAAGGTCATATAAAGATCTCAAGTTCTTATAAGTAGCTTGAATGCAACATTGGGTATTTATAACTTGAACTTGAATTTGTGTGGTGAACTGAAGTGATTTTTTAAAATTATTCTTCATCCTGCTGCAAGTAAAATAGGATTAAATTTTAGTGACACTATTACTCCTTAGCAGGGCTACTTTATTAACAAAAAATGAAATAAATGGCTTACAAAAAATCCTTTTGTGTCAAACTCACCAAATTGTGATCTGTATTTAAAACGCAAGTCTGTTTGTTTTACTATTTAGAGACATGTGGAATGTTGTTTGTAACATTTTGTGTACAGCAAAAACCAAAATATTTTGCCTATTGATATCTTTGAATTTAGAGAGAAGTGTGTGCATGTTGAATACGCACATTCTAATTTTAAGGCCATGATAGAACTCACAGAAAAGTAAATTGTACCTTGCTTTTTTTGTTTATGTTTCTTCAGGGTGACCTTTATTTTGATTTAATTGGCTACCTTTGCTGTAAACTTTCTCCCCAAGTTGTATGTTGTGAAACCTTAAGCAGTATCTTTTCCAGAATATTTGCAAATGATGTTTAGAAAGGTAATTCGATTTTCAGACTCTTATATTTCACATGCTGAAGGAAGAATTAGGCTGCTTTTGATTGAGGCTTTTCTTATTTTATTGAGCAGTGATATTCCAGGATCAAGCTGAATTGCACAGCATAAGAAGGGAGCAGAGAGCATTTGATGGAAGCAGATAATAAAATGCATCAATTGTGTCAGCACCTCGTTACAGTCACATCTGGCTTACTGTCAGGGTACCATTAGATTCCTGTGGTTTTATGTGCCAAAAATAATATGCTTTGTAGTTAATGGAACTAGGATATTTGCAGTTTGATTAAAAAAAAAGAAAAAAATCATCCTATTTTCCTTCCAATCTTTGGTCTTAAGTTCAATTTGAGCACAGCCTTGTCTCCTTAAAATTTTACGACTGAAAGATCAATTGTTCTTTTGATCTGTTTCTTTCTTTCTCTTATTACAGTGAATCCAGCAGTCTGAGCAGCAGTGATGCTGGTTTGTTTACCAATGATGAGGGAAGACAAGGTATTGAAACAATCTTTCCCTTCTCCACCCCTCAAACCACATCAGTTGAAATTCTGTAAGCGTTACAAGTTATTTCATAGGTTAATGACTATATTTCAGTCGCTATTACTGTTTTAATGAGTTGAAGTATAGCTTGCTTTCTGGGTTGCCAGAGGGTGTCCTGAATCCATGACTTAAATCAAAAGCTGTCTTGAGAAGCAGTCTCTGTAATACAATAAACTTACAACTTGAGCGTCTCCAAAAGATCATCTATACTAAGTTTTAACTCTTCAGTTGCTCCAGTTTTCAGGCAGGACTCTGTGATCATAGTACTGCTTCTCAAACTGTTTTTGAGGTGGCTTTTTTCTTTCTTTTCTTCCAAATTGATATTGCAGGATTTTAGAGTTCTTTTTCATTCATTTGAAACTACTTTTCAAACAACTACATTTTCAGCTAAGACTGTGATTAGAAGGTGCATGCTGTTTAAAATCTCTCCTTTCTGAAAATTTTTTCTTTAATCTAAAAAGCAGTGAAGATTCAAAATTTTCCTTTTGTATGCAGAATGTTCTCACATGTTTTTACGTGATAAAAACTATTGAGGATGGAAGTATAAGGGTTTTTTTTCAGCTTTAGTGTTTATTGCCATCTTTAAGTGCAACACATTTACCTTACTAGCATCTTAGTGCCCAGCTCATGGTCTAGGAGCTTGCTGTGTTTGACAGTATACAAAATTGAGGCAAAAATAGTCTCAGGTGACTGAGGCTTGCTTTTTTGTTGGTGATTCTAAGTTAATGGTAATGGAGATTATTTCCTTATGCATTTTGCCACAGACTACTTGAGTGTATACAAGAAAACAAATCCTGGACCATTTCACAGTAGTGATCTAGGTTAAAAGAATGTTTTTTTCCTGTGTTTTTATTTTGCTTTCTAATGTGCAATTCAGGCTCTTCTGGTTTTTTAATCTTCTATTTTAACATTACAATAGGGAGATGATTTCTCAGATTTAAAATAAGGATGTTACTTTCCTTGCTCAACAGTAATAAATAAATAAACTGTACCTCCCAGTCTGAGTACGTGTGTAGTTATGCTAACTCATACCTTTTTTGAAGAATTTAGGCTCTCTTTCAAAGTTTAGGTTGATCTTTTAACTTCAGATGAAAAATATTTCAATACGAGACACATCAAAAATACTTGTTTTTACTTAAGAATTGCCTATATTAATTTCTCCTTTGGCTTGCAATTTTTAAAACTTTTGTCCTCTATGTTTCTATGTAATGTGACTTACCACACTTCGGAATTACACACACTTTTGTAGTACCCTTCCAATATATTTGTATCAATATTTCTGTCCTCAAGTCCTGAACAAAATTGTTTAAATCTTTGAACACTATGATTCAAAACGTGTCAGTTACTTTCTGTTTTTCTTCTATATTTTGTGGGAGGAAAAGGGGAGGGCTCAGTGAACAACAGTGTTCTTTCACAGGTATGGTGTTTTAGTGTTGGTTCTTTACTTTAAAACTGTATTTTTTTTTTTTTTGCCTGCTTGATTTTTGAACCTTGATTCAGTTTGATTGTAATTTTCAAGCTGAAAGCACTAGACCTGAAACAGTATTCTGAAATATAAATAAAAAGAACAATAATAATTAAACTTGAGAAGGATATTTTCAGGACAAAACTTTTTTTTTTTTTTAATCTCTACTTTGAACTAATTATTTTGTGGGTATGATCAGAAGACCATTAGCTTCACACTGGATCACAGACATTCTTAGATCTGCATTATAGCTTTGGTTTTGTGAAGACTTTTCTGCGAAAGTACTATCAGAGATCCTGCTGCAAAACCAAACTGGTTTATTTTCCAATAATACTTATTTCCCCCAGATTTTTTATCTTTTTTTATCTTTGTACTCCCCTTATGAAGTAAGATGAGGTTATTTTATCTCTGTAAATTAATTTATACCTGAGCTGAGACACATACAAAATTGAAAAGAATGAAGGAGGAAGGAAATAAATTGGATAAAAGCAAAGGAAAAGCGTAGATGAGAGAAACAAAACTGAAATAGGACAGGATGAAAATGTATTAAGGGAAGAACTGACTTATTTTGCTGTCTGTTTTTAAAAGCTAGACTCTGATTCCTGTCTTCCCAGTGTCCCTACTCCAGGATATATGTTCAGAACATCTGCATCTTGACCTCATTTGTAGTTCAAATTTTCTGCACTTCTGACTTCAGGTTTCCGCTAAGTCAAGTGGAGAACCAGGGACTGATTAATGCTGCCTCGTGAAATACTTGGTTTAAATGATGTGCCTACCATCATTCAGAAGTTTGGGTAGCAGAGGACAAGAGGATCCTGTTCTCCAGGGCAGCATTTGTTCATTTTGTGTCTCTGAGATTAAGAACCATATCTCATTTATTGCAGACAAATACTCTTTATAAAACCCTAATTAATTCCCAAAGCATATTCATCCTATGGGACAGACATTCTAGAAAATGAAGTGATCTAAAGCAGCAATTTCTTCAAGCAATTGGCCAGTCAGTTAACTAGTTGAGTATTTAGTTCTGAACTTTGGAGTGCCTGACCTTGCAGCTTTTAATTTCCAAAATTGTTTCAGAAAGCAAACGGAAATAAATTCCACCACAGTAAACGTACTCTTCTGTGCACAGACTTTCAGAAGAGTTTCAGCTTTTATAATTTGATTCAAGAAAAACAGGTGTAGCTGTAATTGTGGGGGTAGTAGTGGGTTAATTGCTAGATATATTTTAGTTGCCATCAATTGGTAAGATAAAAGAAAAATGCTGAGACTTGAAAATCCTGTGTTCAACTCCTAATATGCAGTGTGCCATCGAACATTTAAAAGCCTTTATACCCTTTTCCTTTCCAGCCTGCCTCTGTTGCAGTCTCATAGCTTTTTTGTTTATTTGATTTGTTTTGTTCCTATGAAGTTCTCATCTGAGCCTAGTCGTGCTTGTCACAGAATCATAGAATAGTTTGGTTGGAAAAGACCATTACGATCATCTAGTCCCATCTGTAAACCTAACATTGCCAAGTTTACCACTAAAGCATGTCCCCAGGTACCACATCTACCTGTCCTTTAAATACCTCCAGGAATGGTGACTGCACCACTTTCCTGGGCAGCCTGTTCCAATGCTTGACAACCCTTCCAGTGAAGGGTTTTTTCCTAATATCCAACATAAACCTCCCCTGGCACAACTTAAGGCCATTCCGTCTTGTCCTATCACTTGTTATTTGGGAGAAGAGACCAACACCCACATCTCTACACCCTCCTTTCAGGTAGTGGTAGAGAGCGGTAGAGAGACCTTTACAATAAGGTCTCCCCTGAGCCTCCTTTTTTCCAGACTAAACAACCCCAGTTCCCTCAGCCGCTCCTCATAAGACTTGTGCTCCAGCCCCTTCACCAGCTTTGTTGTCCTTCTCTGGACACGCTCCAGTGCCTCAGTGTCCTTGTAGTGAGGGGCCCGAACCTGAACATCATAACTCAAGGTGCAGCCTCACCAGTGCCGAGTACAGGGGCACAATCACTTCCCTACTCCTGCTGGCCACGCTGTTTCTGATACAGGCCAGGATGCCATTGGCCTTCTTGGACACCTGGGCACACTGCTTCTTGTCCTCCTCCTCCAGGTTATCTGGGTGCCTATGTCAGGTCATGTAAAAGGGCAAAAAGCAGCTCTCTTGTGCTCTATTCCACTATTATATTATCTTCTGGCAGAAGTAACTGGTACTCAGTGTTTTGCAATCCCAATATAGCAAATGCTTTTTCTGCTGTGAAACATTGCGTACCCGGTACAGTTAGCCAGCAAAAGCTTAAAGATCATGGAAAATGCTCAGTGCAAGTACAGTCAGTGAAGAAGATAGCTGTTGAGCTATTAACAAACCTCAAGTGAGTTCTTACGGGTTGTATTTTTTACAGGGATTTGTAAATTGGTCAACTTTGGGGTAAGATTTAATATAATTAGCAAAAAACCAAAATCCTATGCAAATATCAAGCCCTTGAGTATGGAGGTGGGAGAGCCTGCCAACAAAGTAATTGAAAGAACTGAACAGTGTATCAGAAATCCTTGTGACTTTTCTTTTTCTTCCTCCTCTTTCCTTTGTTCCTAATAGCATTTTCATAAATGGCTGTTTTGCAGTTATTAAAAACTTGAATGATAACCAGTGTTATGCCTGGTGTAGAAAAATTTTGCAATAAGAGTTTAGAAATAAATGGTCTAATCTTACATTGCAACATATAATACAACTGTATTATAGGCCTAGCTAGTAGGAACACCTGCTAGTAGGATCACTTTACAGGAATGCTTTACAAAGGCACTTTATAAATTAAAAGGCACTTTAAGTTGAGCTTTCAACACAATGTTAACAAAACTGTAACATTATTCAAACTCTAGTTGATATTATTGCTGTTTTGGGAAAAAAAAAAGTCAAATTCCAAGTATATTCTTTAATGAATTTTATAGTGTGGGTATGGCAAATAAAACATTATATTCTGCATTCCTAGTCCATCTACACCTGCTAGTACACTTGGGGAAATTCAAAGTTTGACTTAAGTCCCCTTAAATCATGACATGCAGCACTTGAAATGTCCTTTAAGATCTAAGCAAGTAGGAAAGAAAATTATATTAATAAACTGTTAAACAGTTAAAATTGGAGAAGGTCAGGGAATGTCAGAGTGCTGTGGCTAAGCTTTTAAAGATAGCTGTTCATTATTTTATGATTAAACATATATTCATTACTGTGTCCTTTATGAAGATGACCCACTACTGATTCAATGCATAAGAATTCCATCCTTTTGTCTTCTCTAGTGAGAAACTAATTTGGACCTTGTATAGCATCTCAGCAGCTGCAAGTGTCAGGGTGTTGTTCTCCGTATATAAAATAAATGGAATGTGCAATGCCAAGTGTAATTTTGCTAGTTTTGAACTGTTGTGGCTAATTAGTTTACAGTATTTGCAGGTGAAAAAGAAATAACGTTAAGGTGCTGTATGTGGCCTGAATAGTTGAAATCCTAAATACTGCATGTGGATCACAGTGGCAGAGATGAACATAGAGCTGAGATCATGTCGTATACTTGGTCCAATTTATTAACAGAACACCTGTACAGTCCTCCTACTCAAGAGCAGGGAATGATGTTACATTGGATGGGAGGGGTAGGAGGAAGCCTTCATGTGAAGTTTTCAAGCTTGAATCAGAAGTAGCTGCTTAAATTGAATGGTGGCCTGCTCTCCCTTTTACCAAGGTACCTCTGTAGAGCACAAAGAACAAGATGCAATGTGCCTCTGTAGATGGGTAACTTAACCTTCTACTTTCCTGAAACTCCTTGTATGTGTTATAGTGAATCTTCTGATGTGTCCAAATGATCATTACAGCTGTTAGCAGTGGGTTGGGTTTGTTTGGGGTTTTTTTGCCTAGAAAAAAGTATACTGGTCATGGAAATGAGACTAGCATCCTAGGGTATTTATAGCCTACGTGATACTGCTCTCTGTGTGTGAGTTGATGGATAATGGAGTAGCACAGTACCAAGCAGCGTTTATAGGGCACTGATGCCAAATTCTTTTAATGGTAGCTGCTCAAAGTGGGTTGTGGTTGTTACAGGCAAGCACATGTACACCATATGTGACTGCTATGGAGGGTATTCTGGCCCTTTTGAAATAAAAGAAAACTAGGAAGAGGACAAAAACTGTGTGCAGTGGAAAGTCTGTTTGTCATACTCCTGCACTGCTTTAGCTAAAATAAGGTTCAGGTGAAGCTATTCTGAACATGAAACTGATGGTGATAAAAATGGGGTCTGTGGCCATAGATAAGAAACTCATAAAAATAACTTTCTAAACTTCTTAAAGGAGAAGGCAAGTAATTTAACATGAAGGAGAGGTAATTGGATACATCTATAGTCTCAATAATACAGAAATGAAAATTAGGGAAACAGTAACTGGGGGAAGGGGACAGCGCAAAAATAAATAAAGCCAGGAACTGAAGTGCCTTGAAATTTTAGAATTGAAGTTGACATTCCTGAGCCTTAAATGGATATTTTTTTTTTTCCTGATCATTGCAGTTATAATTGAATGTAAATTGCTTTGAAGTAATTCCTTGAAATACCTAACATTACCCACAAACAAGCTTATTGTGTTTTAAATATGTGGCTAGGAGAATGCATGGGCTCGGATTTCAGTTTCTGCAGATCTGGAGGTGGTCTTACCTTTCCTGTACCTTGGAAGAATAGGATATTTTGCCATAGTCTTGTGCTGAATAGAGGTT